GGGGGGGGGGGGGGCACCGAAACCGACCCCAGCGTTTACTTAGAAGTGTGCTGCTGGCCGGGTGGTCTGTGGAAGTCCGGCACTGAGGCGGCGCTGAAAGTTACGCGCAAAATGACCGTGGCATAGCCTCGCCGATCCCGAAAAGGCTTCCGGGGCTTTCGGGACTTCCCTAATTTGGTTCTGTTAACAGATGCTGTGAGGCTCTCTCTTTCTTCCAGGACAGTGACGCCAGCAAGAAGAAGAAGAAGAAGAAGAAAATCAAAGTGGAAGTGGTTTCTGAGTAGTGGAGACCACTTTAAGCCCGATGTCCAGTTGGGAGGAGAAATTAAAAAGCCTTACTGAGAAAACCTAATTCCTTTGGTTCTTGAGGGAATGGAACCCAGGTCCCAGAAAGGGTGGAGAGCCCCGGCACGTTTTCCTGCTACCTGAGAGCTCTGTGAGGTCACCTGGTGCGCCCATCCCATCCTGTCCTGTTTTAAGGATACGGGTGAAGGAGGCGGATTTGATGCCACCCGCTTCTCTGCTGGGGAGAGTCGGAACCCTCTCCTTCAGACCCAGCGCAGCCCGGGCACCGTCTCAGCCGTTGCCCGGTGGCTGTGTTGACACCCTCGCTCTCTCCTGGTTTGCACCCCGTCCCCCGCCCCGGCTCATCGAAAGCGTCCGCACGTTGCTCAATGAAATGGTGTAGAGCAAGTAAAACCGTAGAACCGAGCCACGCTGCTCACTGCAGAGATCAGTTTTTCCTCCCGCGTCCTATGAGGACAGTGGTCTACTTTGGCGTCACGGCCACCTGTGTCACCCCCATTTCCCCTGCCAGAGGCAGGCCAAACTTCTCAGCTGTTTTCCAGTCCATCTCGGGCTTAGTGGTCTTCTGTGTACTTGTTCAGAGCCTGTGTGTACAGCCTCGTGCGCCTGGATCCATCTGCCTACGTGTTTTGTGACAGAAGCTAGAAACTGCTCTGTACTCTTAACCCTCCTTTACTTTCAAAGGATGCAATCACTCACTGTTGGGAGAAGGTTGGAATTTTTACTTATTAAACTTTACTTGTTTTTAAAAGTATTCTTGTTGGGTTTTCTGATTGTTGGGGATCTCAGATTCGTAGAAGAAAAAATAGAAAATATTTTGATTAAAAATCCAGGGAACCATGTCCTGTTTGACATTTGCTGATCCCCTGGTTACTTTTCTTGCCTTGCAACGTTCATCTCGGGGCCTATTATCTGGCATGGGACCAAATGCTCTGGAGTCTCCATTCGGGACATTGACTAGATAAAAAGAGGGACATCATCACAAATTTAGTGATCCCGCAAATGACAGAGAGGAGAAAGGTGTTAGTATCTACGGAGTGGGTCTGGGAGGGGGGGGATCCTGAGCGTGGCCCGGGGCTGGGTTTCCCTCTGTGAGTGAGGTCGGAATGCAAGCCTCCAGCAAGTCGTGGTGGGAAGCTCCCTGTGCCCCCGCTTAGTGGGTTCTCGTGAAGGATGGGAGCGTCTCGTGTGCATTTCTACGTGAACGCACGTGTTTGTGACCCCAGCAGCTGCTGTGAGAACAAGGGAGTGGGGTTTTCCTTCTGGACACGGTAGTTTAATTTGGGCAAGTAGTCGTGGGTGTTCTGAAAACCAGGTCTGGAGAGCGAAGCAGCTGAGAGGAGCGGCTGGTGGAACGGGCAACGTTCCCTCGGGAATCTTCACAGTACCTTAAATAAACGTGAATGTGCGCACTCCCCCTGTGGAATACAAATGGGGTGATCACACCTTTGTTGCCAAACTTTCTTTAGATGCGTGCACGCGTGTATGCGCGCGTGCGTGTGTCCGGGTCCACGTGTAAGCACCGGGTCATGCCCTGCCCAGTGCACACACACACCGCTCCCGGGAAGTTATTTTGACCTCTACGTTCCAGATTGTTCCATGCTGGAGGGGAGACTTAAGGACCCAGGAGAGGTAACTGGGACTGATGCTGCCCTGGGAAGCTTAAAGCAGGTGGTGCGGTTTCCCTCTCCAGAGACCCGTGTAGGCGGAAACGCAAGGAGACACAAGACATCGGCGTTTTAACACATTTTTATTGCTTTTGAGGGTTTCCCTAGAGCAGACATCCTCCTATTGCACAGCTGTTTCATTTTGGCATTTTAGAAAGTTGAGGCTGAGGTTACAGATGCTTCCAAGACCAATGAAGTGCCCGGGGTGATTCGAGGTGAAGGCGCACAGGCTTTAAGGGACAAGGTCCGTCGCTTTTCTTCTCTGTGTGCACCATCTTTGATTAGCAGTTGCGTTTTGACAGTATTTTCGGCCTCAGGTTTCCAGAGAGCCTTCTGAAGCCCTGATCACTGGGGCTCCATCTAGCAGGAGAGTCAGAGCCCAGCCAGGAGCCGGCACCAGTCTGACGCCCACTGGCGGAAGTAGGATAGGAGCAGAGTGCGGGAAGCTGACAAAACTAGGGGAGCGTCCCTGTTTGTCTGAAAGCAAGGAGAATGGAGTTCACACCGCTAGAGAAGGGCGGACGGAAGCTCCCCCGTTCTGCAAGCTTAGTAAACCCAGGAGACGGGCACCCACTGTGGAGAACTGCACGCCCGCTCGAAGGCTTCTTGCAATTTCTTCAGGGTCTCATCGACGCCATTGTTGACCAGCGAGAGGTCAAAGTAGTGCGCGTACTGGCTGCGGATGGCCTCGGAGTCCTTCTGCAGCTGCTGCAGGGCCTCTGTCTGCAAAGGAGAGAGAACCACGGATGAAGCGGTCCCAGAGGCCAGCGACGGCGTGTCGGCGTGCGTTGACTGTCGTGACCCTGCCTGGCTCAGAACCACCTGCTTAAACACTCAAACCCTGAAGGCCTTCCTTGGGAATGTTAACAGGATGTACAGAGGCGATCAATTAAGAACGCAAGTCTCAGGGGATCTCAAAGCAACCGTGACTGGAGAATCACAGCTCTGAAGACCAGTAGCTCCATCGAGACGGCATGGACTTGAGCAGCACCCTCAGTCCACGCCTTTGAACACAGCCCTTCCCAGAACCACCACGGCTGCAATCCGGGCCTCTGTCTAGCATCCCAAACCTGTGTCCACGAAAAGACTGAGCACTCCATACAAGTAAAAATGCGTAGCAATAAACACCAAAATACATGCCAAACTGGGAAAAAATATCTACAACTATCTATAAGCTCGGAAAAATGAGCCGCGGACACGAGCAGGCGGTTCACAGAGGAGTTGACACAAATAGCCCTCAGTAGTCTGGCGAGCTACTCAACCATTGGCAGCAAAAGGTGGAAGTACAACGAGACTGCGGTTTTCCATTAGATGGGCCAGAAATGAACTTTGGATAATATGCGCCTGGCACACGGAAGCAAGCACTCTCGCGGGTAATTTGTCTCCAAATTCTCAATTCCCACTGCACGCATCCTCGGACCGGGCAGCCCTGCCGGGAATTTCTCCTACGCCTACATTTGCGCACGTGTGGAATGCCACACGGACGGGCCGGTCGCCGCGGTATAATTTGTAACGGTCCTTTTGAAAACAACCCAAGTGGCCTTCGAGAAGGAAATGGCGAGACTGAACAGTTATGTCACATACGCTCAATGGGAGACCACACGCGTACTAAGAAAGGCGGGAGAAGCTATCTACGCAGCGACACGGTGAGATCTCCATCGTGCCTGGCGAGCAGGCCGGGGACAGTGAAGCGTATGGAGGATGATGCAGAGCGGGTAGGAGCCCCTCCTCTCTCCCCACAGCCACACACACCCCAGGGTGGGTTCAGGGCCGCCTCTGGTACCCCTGCTTTGCCCCACTTGAGCTCCTGTCGCGCCGGTGTGGGGGTCTGCCAGACTGTCCGTCTCTGCCCCTACACCCTAAGCACTTCGGGAACAATGACTGGGTCTGATTCCTCTTGCCCCCTGACCTGGCCCGGCTGCCGGCCTAGCCGCTGGCCCGGTAAATCTGACGTGCCCACGCCCTTTGGCTTCTTGGCCTTGCGGAAAGGATGGCGGTAGCCAGGAAGCTCGTGGGGGATTTGTGACGAGCTGTGCTCTGGACCGATGTCCCAGTCTGGGCAGACCCAGACAGCGAACCTCCATGCCCCCTGCACAACCCCGTCCTTCCCACCTGGGCGCCCTGGTCGGTGGGTGCGATGAACACAATGAACGGTGACAGCTCTGCCGTGCGGACAATCTTCAGGGTCTGGAAAACGAGGAAGGAAGAAGAGAGGACCGGAGTCAGCCGTCACGACGGGCAGCGCCGAGCCCGTCATTCCTGGTACCGCTGCCCCGGCTCTAGGTGAACACAACCCCATCCGTTCCTGCCGTGGCGTGCCTACCCACCTGGGGCTCGATGTCCAGGATGGCAATCTTGTCCTGCTTATGAATCTGGTGCACGGTTTCAAATTTGGTGCCAAACATGTTGCCCTGGTAGCTGCCAAACTCCAGGAACTCGTTGGCGGAGATGTCTCTCGTCATCTCTTCGGTGGAGATGAAGTGGTATTCCTTCCCATCTTCCTCACTCTTCTTGGGCGGCCGTGTGGTATCTGCGCCAGAACACAAATCCCGCACCGTCCCCTAGGGGCGTGGGCCGGGGTGTCTGCCTCTGGTACGGAGGGCTTAGCAGAGGGGTGTGTCCCACGGGGTCCCACAGGGCTGACACTGGAGCAGGAGATGCCCCGTCCGCCCAGAAAGCATGTGCCTTTCAAGAGGCGAAGCCCAATGTGGAAAATTTCTATCCCTTTCCCCATATGAGGGGTCATCTCTTCCACCGCCAACCCCAGGAGCATTAGAGCTCACAATTTGAGAAATGACAGCTGAAAATACTTTTTAAGCAGATCTGTGAGCCATGGGCAGCGTTCCGTGTAAGGACATTTAAAGTTGCCTTTCTGGGGGCGCCTGGGTGGCTCAGTCGGTTAAGCGTCCGACTTCGGCTCAGGTCATGATCTCGCGGTTCGTGGGTTCGGGCCCCGCGTCGGGATCTGTGCTGACAGCTCAGGGCCTGGAGCCTGCCTCAGATTCTGTGTTTCCCTCTCTCTCTGCCCCTCCCCTGCTCACGCTGTCTCTGTCTCTCAAAAGTAAATAAATGCCAAAAGACATTTTAAGTTGCTTCTCTGTAGCGTGGAAAGAAGAGTACTTTCGTTTGGTTTAAACTGCTATCGTTAAATGTTGGCATGTTCTTAAGGCACGGCATTTACTACCACTCATATCAGTCGTCATCTAGGTACAATGTGCTCCAGATAGCACAGCTTGAAACTCCAGCATCACACGCTTCCCGGCACACCTCTCTTGCGGCCCATCCGCATCCAGCCCCCTGCCCCTCCGTCTTGCGCGTCGCCCGCGCAGCTCTCTTCCTGGCTGCTCGATCCCAGCCTGCACATGCCTCTCTTTCTTTCCATCTTACAAAACAGCAACTCTCCTTCACTGGTTATCTCTGCTTTCAGACACCCCCACTCAGTCCTGAACCCCGGGACACCTGCTGTCTTGTCTGCCCCTCGTGTGTCACTTATCTCTAAAGGCACAGTGTCGAGGTAAGGAGTGCAACAAGACTAATACTAGATTCTGAATAGGGTTTTCTACCCTGATGAACAGTGCCTCCTCCTGGGAATCCACATAAGCAGTCACACTACGCAGCTTCGCTTCTGGGAACGGAAGGTATCTGACTCCGGGCCTGATTCTCCTACTGAGGGCAGCTGCCGAGACCGGGCCTCTCCCGAGTGCTGCCTTGATTCAGAAGACATTTCAGGAGAATGAGAGGCAGCCCAGATGTGAAGCAATAGTGGGCTAGCTAAGGAAATTACCGCGTAGCCACTCAACGGACTGCGGTTTAAGCTCATGAGAACATGTTTATAATATAAAGTAAAATGAAAAGAGTAATAGATGTGTTGTAAAGATTTTAAGTAAGCTCTACACTTGACATGGAGCTCAAGCCCACAACCCTGAGGAGTATATGTTTTCAATAACATTACCTGCTTGATTCTTTTAAATATTCAGTGTGTAATAGTCAATATTTTCAATATTTAAAATTATTTTCTACCACTTCTGTGACGCAGGCAGACAGCACAGAAAAGAACAGGGGCATAGTTAGTTATCCAGAGCGATGA